ACCACGGATGGGGGGATTTCAAAAGACTTGCAGAGATAGGAAAACAAAAATAATTAAAAATGAAATAATAAAAATAATAAGAACACGTAAAAAAAAAATAATGGAGGTATCGCAAACCCCCCTCCCTCTGTGAAGGGATCCAAATCCGAGGCTCGCTCCCAGCGCAGTGGGAAAGCTCCTGGACGGAGTCACGGAGCTTGGTCGGTTCAGGGAGGCCAGAGCTCAGTGCCTCCCTCGTGGTCTGCCTGGATTTCAGAAAAGGAACTTTGGGAAGAGAAATAAAACAGGGGAAAAAAAAAAGGAAGAAAAAAATAAAAAGAAAATTACCCAATAAAAAATGAGAATAATTAAAAAAATACCGAAAACCCGCACTTGGTTTGGCTTGAGATTGTCCAGACCAATTTTTGCAGAGATCGTATTCTGCTTCAGCAAGAGGTGGAAAAAATAACCAGTGGGGAAAAAAAAAAAGGAGAAAGAAAAAAAGACAAAAGGGAAGGAAAAAAAGGTGTTTGCCCATGTGCTTGGCTTCATAGCCCGTTCGCTTTACACCTCTCCTCTTAGCACCTGGGAAATTGGCACTGCCACCTAGTCTAAAACTAATAAATCTTTTTCCCTCGATTCGGGCTGCTTCCTTCTCTGCAGATGTTGGCAATCAGGTTTGCAAATTTCAAAGTCATTCATCCCGGGCGGCTGGGAAAAGAGCAGGTTTATTATTGCAAAACCTGTCACCCTCCCAACGCCTAAAGTAAACTCCGAGTCACCTCTCCACGCCCAGGGGAAAGAAAAGGAAAAAAAAAAATTAAAAATAGAGCCAGAGAGTGAAATCAAACGGTCAGAAATCCCTCGTGTCCTCCAAAGGGAAAGCAGCGGGCAGGAATGCGGGCAGGAGGGTGCGGGAAGTGTCCGCCCGGCAGTGCCGGACCCCTCAAGTCGCTGGGAAAGGGAGCTCGGAAAGGGCGATAAAAATAAAAAAAAATCTCTAAAAAAAACAAAAGTAATTTAAACAAATAAATAAAAAACTGACTGTGGGGAAAAAAAATAAACCGCGTATATTTCAATGCCTCCTCTATTTTATTTCCTTTTTTCTTTTAAATGGAGAGGCAGCGGTGGGGCTGCCAGAGAACGAAGCGAGTTGAGAAGAGAAAAACAAACGTAAGAAGGGAGCAATTCCTGCATGGAAGTTTTCCTTGTAAGATTAAGAAATAAAAATTACCGAGAAAATAAAAAAAAAAGGGGAAAAAAAACACCAAAAGCGGCGGTGCCGGCAGCGCTGCCCTGAGGCAGCGGGACCGCGGCGGGGCTCGGGCTGCACCGGGCAAGAAATCACCAAAACTGCTCCATTTTACCCCTTTTTCCCAGCCCAGGAATGTTTTCTTTGCCTGGCCGGGAAGCACCGCGTCGGAGAGCGTATCCCCGTCCCTGCGCGCCCCGGTCTGCGCCTCTCCCAGCGTTCCCGAAAATCCGATTTATTCTCCGGATTTATTCCGCAGCCGACTCGGCGGGGATTTTCCTCAGTGCCAACAAAACCGCGCGCTGGGAGAGGGGATTCTTATCGGCTAGCCGCGACTTTTCCCCACATCCCCTTATTTTTTCCTCCACTCCCTTGTTTTTTTTTTCGCCATCCCCCTATTTTTTTTCCTGTTTTTCCCGCATTCCCCAATTTTTCCTCTAAATCAAAACCACGCGAAGCAGAGGGGAGAGGGGGCAAACGCGCAAAAAAAGCCGCCAGCGTAAAAATATACGATTATTATTACATTCTTTTGGCGGGGGGGGTGGTGTTTGAAGCCCGGACCCGCGGCCGCGGAGGGGAGGGAGGGAAGGCGCGGGGGGTACCGGGGGGTCCGCGGAGCCTTACCCGGGTGCGAGTGGAGGCTGATGCCCGATGCGAGGAATTTCCCGGGCTGGAGGGCGGCGGGGAGCCCGGCGGCCATGGGCCCGGCGGCGGGGGCCAGGCGGCCAGTGGCTCCCAGGCGGTGGCTCTCCATGGCCAGCCCGGAGAGCAGCGGAGGGGGGCCGTGCACCGAGCGGGGGGGCCCGAAATCTCGGCCATCCATCATCCACTCGCCGGCTTCACGGAGTCTCCCGGATCGCTGTCGGTGCCCGCCACCGCCTTCCCCCCACCCCCGCCCCCAGCCCCCTCCTCCTCCTCCTCCTCCCCCAAAAAATCAGATGGTTTTCAAAAATAAGGCGTCCAAGCGTCCCATGGCGCGGTGCAGGGAGCCAGCCCCGGCGCGGCGGTCTCGGCGCTGCCTACAAGGGATAAAAAAAGGGGGAATGCATTGAAACGACATGCCCCTACACCCCCCCTGCTCACAGCCACCCCCAAAAATACACACACATACACACACACACGCCCCCCCCACCCTCCTCCCCCAAAACCCACCCTCACCTTCCCGGGGTGTGGGGTAGAGAAGGGGGAAGAAGCGGAGAGAAAATAAAACACTAAAAATTAAGGAAAACTCGTGGCAAAACGCGAGGACAAAAAAAGAAAAAAAAAGTATTTAAAAATAATATTTCACCAATTTCATATTTATATTTTTAAGAGTTACGTTTGTCACGGCCACAGCCCCGGCCGGGCCGGGGAGCGCCCGCAGCCGGGCTCCGGCGGGACCGACCGGCGGGGACACAAACCCACAAATCCCAGACCAGCAAAAAAATAAACACCTAGATTTTCCTTTTCTTTCTTCCTATTTTTTTCCATCTTTTTCCTCTCTCTCTTTTTTTTTTTTACGTTTTTCCCCTTTATTTCTTCCCCCACCGTGGGCTCCGGCACCGCTCCCGCAGCCCCGTTTCTCGCTTCTTTTTCCCCCGTTCCCAAGGCTCCAAACCACCGCTTGGGTTTGCTGTCTTTTTCTTTCTTTCTTTCTTTTTCCACTTTCCCCAGCGCCGCTTTCACTCGAGAAAACAACACACGTATTATCATCGCTTCCCGGCAGAGCGAAATAAAAAAAAATATGTATAAATATAAAATTATCTATATTTGTACTTGCAGCCTGACGAAAGGTTCCGCTCGCCCGCCGCGTTTTGCACCGGGATAGCGAGAAATAATAAACACTCCGGGGATAAAGTGGGGGTTCTCCCCCCAAAGCGCCGACGGAGCCCCGGGAGCCGCCGCTCCGGCCCCGCCGCCCGTCCCGGCTCCCGGGCGGGTGCTCCGGAGCGGGGGAGGGATGATTAAAAAAAAAAAAAAACACACAAAACAAAGAAGGAAAAAGAGGAGAAACGCGAAATTGTGACTAAAGCCTCGCAGCTTTGTTTTGGTTGGGGTTTTGTTTTTTTTTTTTTTCCTTTTCCAGTTATTTTTGGGTGAATTTTATAACTAACTCAACCCTGCCTGCGTGGCTGCGCAGGGCGAACCTCACCCCGCGGAGCTGCGGGAGCGGCCGGATCGCGGCTGGGAAGTGATGAAATAATGGGGAAAAACGGCTAAAAAAAAACGGGCAAAAAGAGGGGCGGGATGGGGCGCGGAAGAAGGGGGTGTCGGAGCGGGGCCGGGGCCGCCGCCCCGGGGTCGGGTCCTACCTCAGGCCGCCTGTTCGCGGGGCATGGCGGCGGGCAGGGCGGCTCCTCCGCTCCTCCGCTCCGCTCCTCAGGGGCAGCAGCGCGGCAGCGACGCGGTGGCGGCCGCGCCATGGAGCGGCGGGGCCCCGCCGAGCTGCGGCATCGCCTCCCCTCACACACACACACACACACACCACACACACTCACCACACTCACTCACTCACACACACACACACCGCCCCCCCGCCCTCCACGCCTGCTTCCCGGGCCGGCCCCGCGCGCGCGGCTTCGGCGGCGCTTAAGGGGAAAAAAAAAAAAAAAAAAAAATTAGGGAGTAAAAAAAAAAAAAAAAAGGGGGGGGAGAGAACGCGAGCGCGGGGCGGGAGGGAGGGGAAAGAAACGGGGGGTAAAGGGAGGTGGGGAGGGAAAAACGGCGGCGGCGGGGCCATGAAACACGCATTGTTCTCGGCGCGGCGGGGGCGGGCCCGCCGCCTGCCCGCGCCTCCTCATTGGCTGGCCGGGCTGTCGCTCAGCGGCGGGTAAACAGGCGGCAGTTTCCAGGCTCCCCCCGCTCGCCCCGCCCCCGGCGCTCCCGCTGCTGTTTCGAGGCTCCCCCAGCACTCCCGCCCGGCGCGGGCGGGCGGCTGAGGGGGAGCGGCCGCGGGTCCGAGCGGGGCTGGGAGAGAGCGGGGGACACCCCGCGACCCCCTTTATTATCTGTGGGGGTTAAATCCTTCATCCCGCCCGGGAAGGGCTGAGGGGGAAGTGCCGCCAGGCCCTCTCCCACGGCCCCGCCGCGGACAAAGCGCCCTTTCAGGGCCAGGGGGGGAGCGGGGGAGGGTCCCGTGTCCTCCTCGCGGGCTCCGCCCTCCCCCCTCCCAAAAAAAAAATTCAAAAATAGGGTGAAAAGAGAGGCTGGGGGAGGAGACACACAAATACACACTCCCCTCCGGATTTGGGGGGGGGTTGCCCCCCCGACGCTGCCCGCCGGCCACACCAACTTTTACTTTTCTTTGCCTTTTTTTTTTTTCCCCTATTTTTAATTTATTTTCCCTTTTTCTTTTTGCTTCTATTTTTAGTTTATTTTTCCCATTTGCACCCCTCGCCGAGCACCCCCCGTCGGTGCCAGAACCCCCCCCCCCGCTTCGTTACTTAATTAAACAAAAATCGGCTTTAATAACGAAAAAGGGGAGGAGGGGAAAATCTAATTTAATCCGGTATAAATTAAAAGTAGTAATAATAATAATAAAGCGTTCATCCCCACCACCCCTCTCGACAGGAGTTTCGAGGCGCCCACCGGGACATCGGCCAGAAAACGGGAGAAACAGCCCCAAAAATCGTCCCCCCGACCCCCCCCTCCAGCCCCTCCGGCACTTTTCTGCTTATTTTTAATCGTTTTAAGCAAAATCGGAGCCGAGTTGCTCGAAAAGCTCTCACGCTGCGCAAGGCGCTGGTTTAACGCGAAAACAACAACAATAATAATAATATATATATTTATGTTTTTATTTATATCTCGGAGCAAAACTGCGTCAGAGGCGAGAGCTCAAACCCCTCTGCTTCCAGGGGGAGGGCGCTTCTTTTCCCAGTCTCCTTTAGCAAACCAAAAAAAAAAAAAAAAAAAAGGGGGAATTGGGGGGTGAGAGAGAAAGAAGAAAGAAGAAGAAGGGAAAAAAAAAAAAATATATTAATGGTTTGATCGCTTTTATGTGGCTTTAAAAGCATATTTTATAAATGTTTAATGCCTTCACGCCCGGACCTCCCCGCCGCTGTCCCCGGGCCGGGGGGTTGGCATGTCATAAATCAGGGAAATGCTAATAAAAAATAAAAAAAAACAGGCTCGGGATGGGCGCGGGGGGAAGCGGGGGCGGCCCCCCCCTCCCTGCAGCTCCAGCCCTTCCTCCTCCTCCTCCTCCTCCCCTTCCCCCGACCGGGAGCCATCTTGTAGCAGCAGCTCCTGGTTGGGGCATCGCTGCTGCGAAACACCGAGCCGACCCCCTCTCCAAAAAGAGCCCCCCTATCTAATATATACAATTTTATTATTATTATTATTATTAATTGTTGTTGTTCCCTCCCGGTGCTGCGGGCGCGCACCATTTTCCCACCGTTTTCCACATCAAATCCCAGCCCCCTTCTTTTCTCCCCATTATTTCCACCCCCCAGTAGGGACACCCCCCCTGCCCCCGCAGCTCGGTGTTGGGGGGGGGGGACACACACACCGCAATGGGGGGCTGCGAATATCCCATGGAATTTGAGGGGGGAGGGGTGGCGGCCGCTCCCACATTTCCCCTGAAAAGCTTTGCCGCAAACGGCGCTTTCTCCAAAAATACCCATTTTTGATAAAAATAATACCGCGGCGGGAGGGGCGGTGGGGTGGTGGTGGCGGTGTTTGTCCCGCGAGCAGCCGCACCGCGTTGTCCCTCTTCCCATCCCTGCATCCCGATCCCGGTGCCCCGGGCTCCCGGCAGGTTCCCACGGTGCCGCCCGCCCCCGGGCCGCCCCCGCCCCCACCCGGGAGGGGGCACCCCTGCCCGCCCTGCGCGCCCAGCTCCGCTCCTCCGGCTCTCCAATTGTGCTTTTTCCTTAATTTTCTTTATTTCCCTTCCCCCTTTTTTTTTCCTTTTTCCCCTCCATTTTTCCCTTTTTTGTTGTTGTTTTGGGGTTTTTTGTTTGTTTGTTTGTTTTGGATGTTTGTGGTTTTTTCTTCTTTTTTTTCCCATTTTTTTCCTCTTCGCCCCCTGGACGAACACAAAATTCCCTTCGGTCGCTCTCCGACCCCGCAGGAGGCGGTGGAGCCCTGCGGAGCTCACAGCCCCCAGCCCCACACCGAGCATTGTCCCCCCTCCCGGAATGCAGGTAGGACAGGGGGGGTGGGAATCTGGGAGGGAGCGAGGGGGGGGAACTGTCTGGAAACGTGGGAGGCAAAGCAAACTGATGCCTCCCAACCTCGTTTTGGGGGGCTGCCAAGGTTTGGGGGAGGGGGGGACACACCCCCTCATCGCCAACCCAGCGCTCAACTTTGCACAGACCCCACTGGATCCCCATCCCCATCTGCTGGGACCTCCCCTCCCCCCCCCCCAAATCCCCTTTTTTACCCCAATAACCCCCCCATGCTCCCGATCCACGGCAGGGGGGTGCTGTGCATCCCTTCCGCCCGCCGTTTTTAACGTGCTTACTACACGTTTCCAGGGTGTTTTTGGAGCTATATTTAAAGCGTGCAGTCAGTGGCTGGATTTAGAAATCCAGGCATAAATCACATTAAAACACGGACGGCGACGATCCCAACGCGTCGGCAAAAGCTTTGCCCTGATTTCATTCCTTCCCCCCCCATCCTAAAAGCAGAACCGAGTCTGACACGAGGGTCCCATCCCCCCAGAGAAAACCCCCTAAATACCCCCCCCCCCCAATTAAAATGCTGTGGGGACAGAGGTGGGATTTGAAGGCAAGGGGGTCCCTGCTGGGGTTTATTCCAGTGAATTCATGGGGATTTATTCATCAGTGGGAGTTTGGTTAATTCCAAAGCTTGGGGTCTCTCCCCACCCCAGCCCCTTGCCTGCAAGGAAAGAGCTGCCATCCCCTCAGGGGAGGGGGCTGTGGGGTGGAGGGTGCCCACAAGAAGATCCCCAGGGAAACAGCTCGGGAACCGAGCGAGGAATTTCTGATTAATGACCAGAGCAGCTCAGGATTTCGTTTTTCTCCATAAATCCTGGCTGATTATAAACCCCTGCGCTCAGCCTGGCTGTGGGTTTTGCATGAGGTGGGGGGAGCCAAGAAATTCCCCCCCCCCCCAAGGGGCTGTACCCAAAGCTGGGCAGCAGCTGGAGGCTGCAGCATCCTCCCACCATCCCAGCTCCACTTCCATTGCCCCACCGGAGCAGGGAAGAAGGGAGAAGGGCTGGGGGGTGCACAGGGATGTGGTTGATGCCCCCTCCCTTCCCCAGTTCACAGCAGTTCTGATCCCCACAGCTCTGGGGTTTGTAAAGCCAAACATCCCCCAGACCACAGGCTGGTTTTCAGGTCCAAATAAAGCCTGATGTCTTTTTTTGCCTTGCCCAGCGCAGGAGGGTGGCTGTGTAGGCACAATCCCACCCTGTTTTCCTGCTCTGCCACCTGCACGCTCCCTTCCCCTCCAAAGTCCCAAATTGGGACCCCTGGTGCCAGGACCTGCCCCGTGCTGGGTGCCCTTTGCTTTTCATAAGCTCCACCAAGCCCCTGGTACCGGGATTTTGTCACAATTAGACTGGAGCTTGAATACATCGGTTTGGGTTGGAGTTTTTTTCCCCTTTTACCTGATAATAAGCTTTTTTCATCCAAGATCAGGGGGAAAAAAATGGGCAAGGAGGAGGGCTGACATGCACAACCCATAGAGAGTTTTGAGAGGAGCACGAACCCCAAAGCTGTAATTACTGCCTGCGTTTTTTGGCTACGGACCAGCTGCTAAATTGGTCGTAAGGCACGGAAACGGCAGTTACACCTTTCAGTGGGAAAAAATGTGGCTTTTAGTGGAGGAACGTGCACGGGAAACCTCCCCAAAACTGCAGTCCCCATGTAACAGCCCAGTATTACACGTTCTGCATTCGGGAGTTTCAAACAATCCTCCAGCCAGGTGACTGGGAACGCTGAGCTCTGAATGACAAGACCTTCTACATCAACAGAGTAAATTGGGGATTTTTCCCTTGATCTGCCACTTGTATCAAAAATACCCTCCCGGATGCAGGACACGAGCGAGCGAGAGGCAGGAGCGTGTGCTATTTTGAGGTTCAATATAAAATAGATACCCTTGGCTTCAGCAGCCCGGCCCACAGGAGCTGCAGGTACTTTCGTATGCATACAAAACATTTTAAAATGGAAAATATTCACAGCTGCTCTCGCCGTTTTGACAGGGGGGAAGGAATCGCGGGGCATGTTAAGGAGATATTAAAAGCTGTGGTTTGAAGCTCCTAAAGCATTTACTCAGCGGGAGAGCCAGAGAAAGAAGTTTAGAAGTTAACTGCATACTTGTGTGCCTTTGCTCTGTCCTTCTTAAAATTCACCTCTCCTATCTGCTTCTAATTTAAACAAGCAGAGCCCTCCAGGAACTGGAAAATCCAGATTTGCAGCATCTCCCAGGGAAAGACGATTTCCTACGTGCCCCCCCAGCGTGAGGGTCCTGCTGAAGGTTAAGCTCGTGAGTGCCTTTGTTTTTGCACCCGAGTTAATCTCTCCTCCCCCCCCCAAAATAAAAGACCTGGGGAATGCTGGTGAAAAAACTGCACTGATGTTACCAGCTGGTCCCTGGTTTAGTCCCATCCCTCTTCCAGAGCCAGGCATGGATTTCACCGCTGCTGCAGGCACTGAATGCCCATCCCCACACCGTGCCCTGTCCTTCTTCAGCTTCCCCTTCTGAAAACAGGGTGAACCCATCCACCTCCCCGGGGTACATTATCGTGGCTTAAAATTAACACTCACAAATGCATTTTCAAGTCCCTTCACGAGAGGCACCAGGAGCGCTAAGGTGCTAGCAGAATAGATCTTTCGCCTTTCAACAGCTGTTAATTGCCATTAAACCCAAACACGCACGGCTTTATTGGAACGGCGTCCGAATTTCCACGCCGCGCTGCAAAGCCCGTGCCCGCCCTCGGTCGTGCTCTCTGGCACGTGCCGGCTGCCTCGACGAGGTGTGACGGGTAAATCCTGCTACCTACCTACCTCTCTGGTAGCTGTCCTGCACACTGGGACCCATTTTGGGGGTCTCCTGATGCCAGGCTCCTTCCTTCGCCCTCCCCGCCGTGCTGTTGCACCAGACCTGCCGTCATTGCACGAAGCTCCAACACACCCTCCCTCGACCTGCAGCGGAGAAGGAGATGGGATGCAAAACCCGTTCCCAAAAATACCCCGAAGAAGCAAGCAGGAACCTGCCCGTGAGGAACTGAGTCCCTAAGGCTGAATCCGGCCCGCAGCTGCCAGGAAAAGCACGTGCTGGGTGTCACAGGGATGGGAATAGCCCGCCGTGACGAACGGGAGTAAATCAGTCATCAGCAGGCAGGGCTGGGGCAAGGCTGCCAGCACTGCCATCCCTGCAGCCACCACTCTGGGGGAGTCCCTTCCCTGCTCTCTTTGGGGTCTGTTGAATCAGCCCCATCCACAGCGTCCCTCCATCCCCCTGGGACTGCCCTATGGAACAGCCAAGCGCCAGGCAGGGCGGAAAACCTGGATGTTGTGGCAGGAGTTTTCCTGGAGTCCAGGAAGCCGCCAGCTCCTCACGGGTACTTTGTGCACCCCCAAACAACCAAACCCAGCTGGGAGTGCCCTGCACCAGGTACCAAACTGCTCAAACACGTGAGATGGAGCCAGCAGGGCAGGAGGGGGAGAAGTATGTGCGTCTCCAAGCATCTTGTCAGACCCCAGTGTTTCCCCCCAAACCCCAACAGAAGGAGGGGTGTCCATGACTGGCTCCAAGGGCTATCCCATCTCTTTTCCCATCACCCCAGTCCTCTGCAAGGGGGAAGGGGCAGTTGGACAAAACGAGCCCTTTCTGCTCCACAAAGCTCGTCAGCCAGCGGCTCTGGGCTTATAATTATTATTTCCTTAAAGACGAGCCGAGCAGCTATAGACAAAAAAGCCCCCTCTTGTCGGAGCTGGAATTTGATGTCCTAACGACTGTTTTTGTACCGTGCCTGTTAGAGGAAAGAGCTCGGCAGGAGGGGGAAAGAGAGATTTAATTATAGAGCTGCATTGTGATTTTGCACACATAGCTGGCTGTTGTAATCAGGTTACAAGTGTATCTGATTTTCTTCCCTCCCCTCCCTCTTCCTCCTCTTTCTCTCTCTCTTTTCTTTTTTTTTTTCTTTTTTTTTTAACCCTCCCCTTTTTCCTTTCGGTGGTCCAAATTAGTTGCTTATGTTTGGGTGTTTCAGAGAGGAGCTGTTATTTGCCTGCACTGAAGATCTTGATCAAGGGAACAATGTAATGTTTCCAAGGAACCTCAGCAGCTCTTTGCCGGAGGAGGAAGCCAATGGTTCCCAGCTCCAGCAGAAACCCCCCCGGGGCTGTGCCAGGCACTCGCATCCCACCATCCCTGGGCTCCCCTTCCACCACCAAAATAAAGAGGACATCCATATATATATATACATATATATATATATATATCTGCCCCAACTCCCCCATGCTCCCCACAAAATTCCTTCACATCCAGGATTCCCTCAATAAATTGAGGCTTATGAAGAAGAGACGCTCGATTTACCTCCACTGGGGCAAGAGAAGGGAAAGAGAGGAGAGGGAAAAAACCCTTTTTAAGAAGAAACTTTATATTTTCCTATCTGAGTCAAGTGATGCTGCGCTGGATTGGGGACTGTTATTGGGTTCATTTAGGAATCTATTGTTGTCCATGTGAATTCTTTTTTACATTTCAAATAACAGGATTATTTCCCCAGGGGGTAATATCCTGTAATTTGAACACAATAATGGGAATAAATTACTTACTTAGAACTAATAACGACAGCCTGATTCCAATATATATAGGAACTGTAACAGCTTTGGTTAGTTAAAGTGTAATTGTGTCGACAGATGACATTTTCTTTCAAAGGAATCTGAATGACTTTTAATTAAATTTGCTGGGGGTGGGGAAGAGAGGGAGAGATACACTGGGAGATCTCGGCTGCCGAGGCTGCAGCGGGTCCTGGCCCCGGTGCCCCAAGCTGAGCTCAGCCCCAAGGAAACTCGGCCCCCATTGCAGTTTCCAGACTGAGAACAGAACAGGGAAGAGGGAAGCCAGCACCAAACCCCATGGCCCAGGGATGGAGGGGGGTAGAGAGTATGAAGAGGGGTAGAAGGGATAGAAGGATGGAGCCCAAGCCCATTTCCTGAGCTCCATCCTGGCAGAGGGCAGGACAATGCCCATATCCCGCCCTGGGCACCCCTGCACTGCCTCTGCCTGTGCTGGGGAAGGGAGGAGCTGATGGAGGCACCAGCAGCCAGGCAAGGAGGCTCTGCTGCTCATGTTGGAGCCATGAAATCCCAGAATGGTTTGGAAGGGACCTTAAAGACCATTTCAGTCCAACCCCCTGCCACGGGCAGGGACACCTTCCACTAGCCCAGGTTGCTCCAAGTCCCATCCAACCTGGCCTTGGACACTCCCAGGGATGGGGCAGCCACAGCTTCTCTGGGCAACCTGTGCCAGGGCCTGCCCACCCTCACAGGGAGGAATTTCTCCCCAATTTCTCCCATCTAACCCTGCCTTCTGTCAGTGGGAAGCCATTCCCCCTTGTCCTGTCACTTCAGGCCCTTCTCCAAAGTCTCTCTCCAGCTCTTGGAGCCCCCTTAGGCACTGGAAGGGGCTTTAAAGTCTCCCCAGAGCCTTCTCCTCTCCAGGCTGAACAACCTCAACTCCCAGTATTGCCACCTCAGCCCAGGGGTTCCTCAGGGAAGGCAGCTCTGCCCAAGGAGGACCTGCACCAGCAGCCCTCCATCCCAGCTCCTCGCCCTCACCCCAAAACTCCCCTGCAAGCCCCGGGCTCTGCATGTCTCCTCACCACTGCCTTCACTGCCAACCACTCCTCAGGTTTATTTCTGAATCAGCAGCACGAGAGGTTCCCTTCAGAGGCACAAAAAAAAGGCAAAAAAAAAAAAGCATCTTTGAGCTGCAGCGCTGCAGAAAGCCAAGTTCCTGCCCCGAAATATCTCGGAGAGGAGCTGTGTGCTGCTGCCAGCGGCTCCGGCCTCCTCCAGGACTCATTTTCCTCTGTTTATCTTGAAAATATTTCTGTGCTGAGGTCCCACCCCGCGCGGCGGAGCCCTGCGAGGCCGCCTCCAGCCTCACACACGGCCTCTTGTTTATCCACAGCCAGTTTTACAAATAGCTTATTAAGCCCAGAGCGCTGTTTGCTGGAGGAAAACCTCACGGAGCAGCTCCTGCAGCCCCCTCCCTGCTCCGAGGCTCCTGCCAGCTGTGCCCCCTCCCAAAACCCCTCTGACATGCACCCAGTGGCTCAGGCCTCTGTGGCTGCTGGGTTTGGGAATCGCTCACGATGGAATAAAATAACCAGTGTGCTGGTGGAGGAGGTCCCACCGCCCTCGTCCTCTCCCTGCTCCCGGGGTCGATCTCCTGTCCGGGATTTTGGCACTGCCAGCCCTGGTTTGTGTGACCCTGCAGTGGCAGCTGCCGGGGTAGATTTTGCCTTTTTAAAAGACCCTTCTGTGGGGGCTGCTGGTTTGGTGTGGGGGAGTTGCAGGGGTTCAGATTGCAGAGAGCATGTTTTTGGGGCTGCTGAATTGGCCGTGCTTTGGAGGTTGCTGACAACATGCCCAGACCCAGAGAGGTGAGCACAGTTGGATGCTGTGTACAGTGGTCCTGGCAGGAGCCCGGTGGGACCACGCCTCAGATTCCCTCCTGTGCCTCTGCTGCCCACCCAGCCCCAGGACCCCCGGGAGGGAGCTGGGATGGAGGGTTTCAGCCCACAACAAACAGCATCAGGGATGTCCCACAGGGCTCGAGCCCAACCTCTGTGTCCACTGGGTCCCGCAAAGCCGAGCCTGAGCACCTCTGTCCCTGCTGCCACCTCTGTCCCTGCTGCCACCTCTGTCCCTGCTGCCACCTCTGTCCCTGCTGCCACCTCTGCCCCAGGCAGGAGCCTGGCTGTGCCCAATCCCCGGTGTCCCAGCACCACAACTTGGGATACCCACCCTGAGTGCCCCCTCCCCGGGACCCCCTGAAGCCCCACTCCCTGAGCACGCAGGACCCCGTAACACAGCAACATTCATAACCTGGCTGGCCAGATTGAATTACCTGCCCCTGGAAGAATAAAGGAGGCATTCAGCCATTTTTTTAAAGTCTTTTCCCCTGCCAAGGCCAGACACCACGGTGACGGTCGAGCACAGAGGCAGAGAAACACGAGCCCTCGCCTCTCCCTCCGAGGGTGACCCCGATCTGCCCCACGTCCCCCCCTCCTCCGACCCTTTAACACCCAGGGAAGCACATGCTTTGCTCACCCGTCACGAGCTCCCTTATCTTTTAATAAAACCTTTAAGAGCAGAAGTCAGGCAATGCCGGCACAAAGGCAGCTCAGCCTCCTCCCGGGACATTAATCATTTTCTTTGACACGTTTTGCTAATTAGCCAAAGCGTTTGCCTCAACAGGGGGAGAAATTGGGGCCTGGGAAAAAGAAAAAAAAACAAGGAAAAAACCCCACATTTCAAGAAGGGGGAGAGGTGGAAAGGGAGGAAGAAATGGGGGAAGAAGGAGCTGACTGACGTCACCCCTGTGCTAGCCGGCATCCCTGGGCATCACCTGGCTGGGAGAAAACCCAGTCCCAACCCCATCCCAAGGATTTTGGGGAGCTGTGATCTGTGATACACGTTTTACCTTCCCCATCCCACTCCTGGTTACCCCATTAGTGCATTCTGCAGCCACGGAGGGTTATTTGGAACACGCTGTTTGGGGGTTTAACTCAGGGCTTTATCTTTTACACGGCTGTTAATCCTCAGGACACATGTTTCCTATCAGCCCTTGATATTTAACATACAATAAGTGTCTTATTAAATCCCAGGGACTGGCTCCACACAGACCACTCACCCCAAAACCCACCCCGGGGGCACCCCAAAGGCAGACTGGGCAGCCCAGCTCCAGCACAGGTTTTGGGTGTACCACGTTAGACCCAACAGGGAGAGAAATGTCATGGAATGAAGGCTCCTCTACACAGGAATTCAGCCTTTAATCTGGTTTTTGGCCCCCTGAGTAGTCACTGCTCCCACAAGCAGGGAGAACCACTTGCAATTTTTAAAACACGTTATTTTGAAGGGTTTTTTGGCAATGCTGTGTGACATAGGATGAGCCCATCCCAGGCAGGACTAGCTACTGTCCCAGCATGACTTCCCATTCCAAGAATCTGACCCAGTTTTCACAGGACCTGATGTTTTCTGGGGGGAGAGAGACCACAGAGAGAGCAATCCATAGTGAAATCACTCTAATCCACCACACTGAAAGAAGAAAATCCCAGGAGAAAGCATCACCTGCTCACACCTCCGCCCAGCCCGGCACGGCAAAATATTGGCTCCTGTCCCACCCTGAACATCAGCTCTCCATCCCAGCTCCTCAGGGAAGGGCAGGGCAGAAAACCACACGGCACAATCCCCTTTTCTCCACAAAACCAAGCGTAAGGACAACGGAATGGGGTGATAGAGCCCCCCACACGTTGTAAGGACACTCCCCATGGGTGCCCCCTGCCCACAGCAACCGGGCCATCCCTGTCCACGGGTACAAGGGAGGGGGAGCAGCATCCCAGAGCCACGTCAGTCCTTTGGGGAGCGTTAAAAAAATAAATCCCAGCTCTTTGCTCCTCTCCAGCACAAGTTTCTCATTGCTGTGGGATGACACACGCCGTCCCCTCCAAAACAAGATGCTTTATTATTATTCTGTTTCTAATTTGGGGGTTGGAAACGATTTTCCATCCCAGAATCCAAACTAAACCATTACCCCCCCAGAAAAAAATTACTAATGTGCTTTCCAGAGAGCAGTGGCACGGTCAGTGCTCTGTGAGGAGGGGGTGAAGGTTTGATCCACGGCGATGAGCACCGAGGAACATCCTTCTCCATGCCCGTTTCCAAGAAAAAGGGTAGAAAAAAAGCAAATTCAGTTAAATACAGAGCTGGCCCAGACTCCTGCTGTGTAACCAGCTGTGTCTGGGATGCGCTGGTCCCACTGGGAAAGGGCCGTGCTCCACCCCTGCCCTCAGAAGGATTTGGGGGAAAAGAGGTGAAAGGTCAGTATTTGGGGAGCGGTGCTGGGGACCTGACACATAAATCATCAGCATCATTCCCGTTTTTGACTGTTCCAACCCCCAATCTACCAGCAGATCCTGGCAAGGAGCAAGTGAGGTCCCACTTCTCGCTGTCCTGCCTGGCCCTGGGGACAGTGGGGACACTCAGAAGAAGCCAGGCTGAGTCTCCAGCCCTGCCACCCCAGGTTGTGCCACAAAGCTCGTGGAGAGCCTTGGGGGGGGCCCCCGTGCAGCCGGCGGCGCTGGCAGACGTGCCGAAACCGGCACGCAGGGAGCTGGTGGAAACCCTCCAAGCCTCCTCCGCCGTTGTATAAGAGCCGCTCGAAAACACTAATCCCCAAAAAATTCAGCCCCGGGAGCGCGACCAGGCCGCCTCCCAGGCAGTGGGGTTTGCATGGCCAGCCCTGCACGGGTCCAGGGGGAAAATGCCTTCAGGTGAGCTCTGCAGGAAAGTCTGGGGGTCCCAGATGTTTTCATACCAACGATCCTTAAAAAAAAAACACCCAAAAAGCCAACAAACAAAAAAAGACAGGCGAGCGAGGCACGGAGGCAGAATCACCCGGCATGCCGAGCGCCGCTGCAAAACAAGGAGTTTTTCCATGAGTCACACCAGTGGAAAGACCAGATCAGGCATCCCATGGGTGGGCTTGGCCAGAGCCGGCTCCTCATCCCCACCACAGCGGGGAGGATGTTTGGAGTGGGGATGCTGCATGTGCAGCCCCTTTCCCTGCAGGGCTCTTGGCCCTTGGCTTTCCTGAGGCTGCTCTGGGGCCACACTGGGGTGGACTCAATGGAATCCCCAAGCGTTGGAGGGCCTCGGGATGCAGGGATGGATCCTGGTGGGGTTTAGGCAGGGGAAGTGGGGTTTGGTCTGTATGAGCAGTGCAGGATTTTCCTGGTCCCCCCTTCCTTTCCCTGAACCCACAGTGCACACGGAGACCCAACGCATGTCCCCCACCATGGCCTCGGACACTTCATTGCTCCGCCGCTGCCCCCTGTGCCTCCAGTGCCCCCTAAACCCCTCCGGGACTGCGGGAGGCAGCGGCAGAAGTAAAAATAAATATAAAGAACTGGTGGCGGAGCACCACGAAACAAACAGGTTTGATTTATCGGTGGCGGGAAGGGGCGAGTGCGATGACAGGCAGCGCAGGAAGTCCCTGGGACCGTAAATCCCGGTGGGAGTGGATAAAGCTTCCATGCGCTGGGTGGGAGGTTACGGGGAGGGCGGCGGGTGAAGTTTAGGGAAGCTGGGGTGGGGTGGAGTGTCTTCTCCGGTTTTTAGAAAGGCGGCGATGAGGGGGAGGCGATTCCCTCCCCGGGGGCAGCGCCCAGGGCAGGGTGGGAAGGGACGGGATCGCATCCTCGGGAGGGCTGGAGCTCCGTCCCGTCATCATCACCCGCACAATAACAGCAACCCTGGCTGTGTTGTGGGTACAGAAACGGCACGTACTTGTTGCTGGCCGTGTTTCCTGGCAGCCCTAAGGCAGGATTTGGCTGCGCAGGAATTTGGAAGCTGCCTTAAATCCAGAAAGAAATGAGAAAAGGCTGGGAGCGACTTTGTGGGCAGAGTTCAGCTGCAAATCCCTGCTCGGCAGCCTCAGCGCGGGGCCCCGGCCGAGGCCGCCCTCTCCCGACGCTCGGCAATAGGGATGAGGTCGGAGATTCGGCTGCTGGGGATGGGGTTCTATTCCATGGGGACATCGAGGAGGGCTCCCCAGCACCCCTGGACACCACGTCCTCCCTCCTCTGCCTTCCCAGAGAGCCTCCTTGGCCGCAATGCCCCTCAGCATCCCACCCTCCGTCCCACTTCACCCCACTGAGATGAACCCAATCATAGATAGAGCCGATATGAAATTCCATAAATCCCCCTCACCTCTTCCCTGGTGGGTGGCCACTCTCACCTCATGGATGCACCGGCTCGGCCGTGGATGGATGCCAGACTTCACCCTGACCTTGGGATGGACAGGACAGCAGTGGCATTGCTGGGAAGATCCATGGTCAGCAGCCTTGCTTCCTGCTCACTTGGAGGGAACCAAGGAGGAAAGGGATGAAAAAGAGGCAGGAGGTGCCAAGCGCTCTAAAAATCAACAACAAAAACGGAAAGGAATTAAAATTCACCCCAGACCCTCCTCTGGATATTCAAGAAGGTGCTTCCCTGCCTCTGGAGCTCTACACTTGGGGCTGTCCTCACCCTCAGGATCGGTGCTGGGGTCACCTCAGCCCCACACCCATCATGAGTCCAGCACTGGCTCTTAATATACCCAGATCCACTTTCAGGGATCTCTCTGCTGCATCCCAGCTCCTTGTATTGGTGTGAAATTCAGAGTTTTTTAGGAATAAACAAGCCCAGTGCCTGTCATGGGGGGTTTACCTGCATCTCTGCTTCCCCAGTGACATCCCTGGGTGGAGAGTGTCCCAGTGATGGATGATTCTCAGCCCTGCATCACCAAAATCCAGGTTGCACCTTGTCCTGGAGAGCCAAGGAGGAGCAGCCAAGAGCTTTCCACCATGGTGATCCTGCCTTTTTGCCCCATCTTTTCTACCATCCTTTCCTACAGCACCCAGGGCATGACAAACATTACTCAGCATCTAAGGTTTTATATATTAATCCTTTAACTCCCAAACTGGAGCTTGCAGGGGAAAAAAAATCAAGTCTGATGGGAATGGGATTCCAGTCACAAACCTCCCAGTTTTTCAAGCATCTCATTTGGCTTCTCCAGCCTCATTTTGGGGAGCAAACGGCTTTTCCATACTGGACTGTGCCTCCTACTGCCTCTCCCTGATGAAGCAGCCCTCAAACATCGTGGAAAGGGCTTGGCTTTGCTTTGGTGGAAAGCTGCTTTCTCGGTAAAACCTCAAAAACAAGCTTTCTGTAGGAAAAAATAGATGGTTTTGGGATGACTGGGCTTGCTCACTGGGGATTCAAGGCTGGCTTTGGCCCCCCCCAGTGTGTCCACCCCAGCCCCCACAAAAAAAGCCATTTTTGCTCATTGCTAATAAATCCCTGCAAAGAGGGGAGGGGAAAAAAAAAAACCTCCCTGCATGCCCTCACTTATGCAGAGACAAGGAAATGTCGTTAAACTAAACCAAACAAACGAATCCAGAGGCAAAGAGAAAAATCACATTATCCCGAATCATAAATCCCGGAGAGGGGTATTTACAGGCTGAATTGCCAAGTGCATTGGAACTGCAGAGCACCCGAAGAGCAGATAGCCATAAAGGCAGACAACGGCCCTGGAAAAAATGCTTTGATTAGGATCTGGGCAGCATTCAGCCCAGATGTTCATTTGTCAATGGAAGAGGGATGGGGGGGAGGTGAGAAAGGCTTTAAATTAATCTTTACAACTAGAAAGGAGCTTGTAATACACACCATATGGGGAGCCACGTCCCTGGAGCCCCCTCGCCTCCCCCCAGCCCGGCGTGCTCGGAGCCAGGCTGGGACCCTCCGGCCGGAGCGTGTCCTCCTCCTTCACCCCCTTGTTTTCTCCGTGCACCAAACACCCCGTGAACCCAAACCCCTTCCACATGTGCCTTTTTTTTTTTTTTTTGTATTGTGAACAAAACAAACTGCAATTCTTCTCATAACACCAGATCTCTTTTATTATTTCCCCACCACCACCACCACCACTCCCCAGACCCAGATACCTGCTCCCCACTCCTTCCAATATCCACATGTGGTTTCTTTTTAACCCTTCCAAGATGCCAGCAGTGGTGGTGGGGGGGGGTGGTGGTGGGGGCTGTGTGTGGAGAGGAGGGACGAGGCTGTTTATTAAATGCCAGCCATTCAAATTAATTCCCCTAATGGACTCGCCGACATCATGGTGTGCATTTAAATGAATGCTTTGTCATATTTCATAGCCAACCTGCAGCTCTCTGCAGAGCAAACCTGCTGGAAAGCTGGGAACAGCAGCAGTGACAGGGACAAACCTATGGAGAGAGAAATAAGAATTAAATACAAATCCCAAATGCAATGTGGGGGTGACAAGAGAGCCCAGGAAGCCCTTGGAAATTTGGAGGTGGGGTGCAAGCAAGACCCTAGGCAGGGCAGGAAGAGCTGTGTGATGGCAGTGGGAGCTTCTTTTCCACACAGGAGGAGGAAAAACCCTCTCGCTGCTGGGGCAGGAGGGACCAGAGACCCCTCACCCAGAGCAGCACAAAGCCACTGCTTCCCAGATGGAGTCTGGGCTGTCCCTTCCACCAAAGCCCCACCACGGCAGGGACCAGCCCCAGGGACCTGCTGAGGAGGCAAACCCCCTCCATCCTGCACCCCCAGCCAGTGCATCCCCCTGGAGCACTGATCTGGGGGCTGACAGTGGAGCTGCCTGGCCAGCATTCCTCCCTACAGCACAGGCTGGGATGCTGAATCCTGATCCCTCCTTGGCAAGATATTACTGAACATCCCAGCTCCTGGCAGAGCATCCCTGCTGTTCCTGAGTAAACTCAGGCCTTCCCCTCCCCAGCACCCCTGGGACAGCCACAGGTTGCTCACCTTGGCTCCAGCTTCAAGAGCTCCCAGTCCTTTCATCAGCCTGATGGAAAGTCAGTGCACACACACACACAAACACAGCCCCCCCTGTGCTGCAAGCACCAGCTCTCTCCTGCTCACAGCCTCTCCTCCCATCTTGTTCCCTCTCTTCTCCCACCTTTAAGAGGTGCTGGAGGGATTTCTTTCCACCTTTGAGGGTCCTCCTCCTTTTCTCCACCCTGCCCCATTCAGCTTCTGCAGGATGTGAAGGATGAGGAGGGGCTGGGGGCTGCTCTGCTCCTGTTTGGCACACTGGCCCAACAAAGGGCTTTTGCACACCCCAAGGGCCAAGGGAAGGGTGATGTCATGGTCCAGGACAGGGATGCAGGCAGCAGCTCCAGCCACAGGTTTGGCAAGGGCAGGAGAGCAGAGGGAGCAGCAAGTGCTGGCAGCTGGGTCTCCCCCATCCTTCCAGCCCCACTGCAGGCTGAAGATCACTGATGACCAATGGGCCAAGAAAGCAAAAATCATAGAATCACAGAGTGGTTTGGGTTGGAAGGAATCCCAAAGATCACCTCATTCCAACCCTTGCCGTGGGCAGGGACACCTTCCATTAGCCCAGGTTGCTCCAAGCCCCACCCAACCTGGCCTTGGACACTTCCAGGGATGGGGCAGCCACAGCTTCTCTGGGCAACCTGTGCCAGTGGCTCTCCACTCTCACAGCCAAGAATTTCTTCCAAAAAAAAAAAAAATCAAATCTAATCCAGGGTTGTTTGCAGAAGTTTCTCATTTAGGGAAACATCTGGAGTCAGCACTTCTCCCTCAAAGGGCAGCAAAGGGTTCAGAGGACACCAGCCCTCATGCTGGGGAGGAAGAGGAGGAGGAAGGAGCCCATTTGCCTGGTCCCCCAGGGAAGGGACACAACACATTTCTGCTTGGTGTCTGTTACCTGGCCTGCAGAGAGCAAGGCACCACCCCCTCCATCCCCTGGAACCCCTGCCAGGAGAACAGGCCCTCCAGGTCACAAAGCAAGAGTGTCACAGCACAGGCAGGGGATGTCACCCCCTTTCCCAGGTCCTCCTGGACCTTCTCCCAGGTCCTCCCAGGGTCGCAGGGCAGGAGCATCCCCTCAAACAGCAACACGTGGGGTGCAAGCAAAGCCCTTGCTGGGCTGCAGTGACATCTGCTGGGCTCCCTCGCGGGGACCCCCCAGCCCCACCCCTGAGCAGGACCCGCTCCCACGCTGAGCCCGGAGCCTCCAGCCGGGGCTCCGCCTTTCCAGCCCCAAGCCCAGCCTGATCCTCTCCAGCTCCCCTTCAGACACCTCAGCACTGCATCCCTCACTGCCAGCTCCAGGGAAAGCCCACAGGGAAAGCAGCTAGAGGAGAGGACAGCACCCCCAGCACCCACGCTCCCTCGGGAGGGGTCCCAGGGGGTGGTCTCGATGCTTCTGAAGAGACCAAAGAGCTGAAAAGCCTGCATTAAGGGAGAAAATGCACAAATTAGGCGTGGGGGCAGGGACTGGAGGAGAGGGGGGGAGTTGTTTATCTAGAGCTGATTTTGATTTTCCTCTTTCAAATATCAGCAGGATGCTGAGCCTCGCCTCGTTATGCAAATAGAAGCAATTAGAGCTCACCCAGGCTCTGCCCACGTGATGGTTTATGGCACTCGCAGAAATCCTTCCTGCTGCATGAGAGGAATAACAACAGCCCCCCTGTGCCTGCTCCAGCCCTGCCACGGCCAGGGACACGGGAAGGCTGGGAAGGGGAGCCCCTGAGATGGAACAACTCACCTCCCATAGCCACCCCCGGGCCTTCCAGAGTCCTCAGAGAAGGACTTCCCCAAGGAAAAATCTCCCCCTCTTCCATGGAGAAAACAACTGCACCGGCAGCAAGTCCCCACCGGCTCTTGGGATGGGACAGGAGGAAGGATGGAGGGGGAGAGAGCATCACTGGGAGCAATGCCAGAGCCTTTTTCTCCACCAAGCCACAAAGTCAGCCCCCAGCAGGACATCTGGGGCTCGGGTCCGAGGGGATGCACTTTGCTGAACTCCAGCAGAAAGAGGCAAAGCAAAAAGTCCTGAATTCCCTGAACTGGGTTTAAAAAGTATAGAAAACTCCCCACCACCACCACCACCCCCAGTCCCACCTTGCCTGCAGGAGGAGGTGGCTCCATTCCCCATCTGGCACTTCACCTCCTCAGGGCCACGCGCCGACCTGCAGGGACCAGACATGGGAGCGTAAATCAGGCTGGGCTCCCGTAAATCCATCATCTCCCTCCTGATTTACATCCAGGTAGCTGGGAGGATTTACTCCCAGTACCTGCCTCGAGTTTCCCACCCCCAGAGGAGCAGAGGGGAAAGAAAAAAAAGACAGGCTCTTTCAGTATTGATCTTGCTCCTAAATCTATTTTTTTTTTCCCCTTCTTCTTTGGATGCAAATGGAGATTGATGAGCCCAGGCCAGCAGCTCTTCACCTCCAAGGGCCATTTCTCTCTGTTCCTGGGGGAGGAATGGGCAGGGGGATGCCCACAAGGCCACAGAGGCCATCACCCCATCATCTGTGGGCAGGAGAGAGCTCCCAGCACCTGGCTCAACATGGAGGTCCTTGCTGAGGAGTGGGATAAGGGACAGCTTCACAGATGGAGCAGGATGAGGGACATCATCACAGATCAGTTTCTCAGTAGTACGTAATTTAAGCCAGCAAGCATTCCAGAGGAACTCTCCAGCCTGCTGTTCTGACACCATCCCCAACTCTATCCCTGCACCAGCTGCTCTTTCCAGGGCAGGAAAGAGGTAGGAGGAGCAGCCAGGGAGCCCTTTCCATCTCCCCAGACAAGAGACACTCCATCCCACATAGTGAGGCATGGAGAGATGGAATTCTGCAGCCACAGGATCATTTGGAATTGAGACCCAGCCTGAAGGTTTCCAGTGTGACCCAAAGCTTTAGGAATTACCCAGGCACGCAGCAGCAGGAGCTGCAGGCAGGGAGCTGGGAAAGGGCTGAGTCAGCACCCGGAGAGTCGCCCCCAGCCAGGCCATTCGTCAGGCAAAGGTTGGGAAGGAGCTTTTCTTCCCTAGCAGGGCCAGGCAAATAATTCACAGCAGATAAATAATTCACCGGGAGTTCAGCCGCCCTCTGGCAGCGGATTGCCCGGGAGCTGTTCGCCGTTATCCCGCATTTATCTGCGATCCCGAACTTTCAGTTGAGTTGTTCAGACAAGTCATTGCCGGGGCCGGGGAGAAGGCTGGAGGAAAGGAGGCGATACCTGGGATGACAGGAATGATCACGGTCAGGATGAGCCGGTGGCTGCTGTTGTGACCGTTCACCACCCGGCACCACCACGACCCGGAGGCGACACCAGAGCTGAGAGGATGGATGCGCAGGAGGCACCGGATTGTTGGGTTTCTGCCACCCTGCTCCCATTTCCAGCCAAGAGCCCCTCCCCCCAAGACATCCCCCTGTTTTCTGTTTCCTACCAGCAAATTCTGCCGCCCGAGGAAGAGGAGACGGAGGAGAGGCAGCGCGAGCAGAGTAAATTCAGAGTTCTGTCCAGTGAACGTCTCCCAGATTGTTTTAATGAGGAGTCTCCCTGGTTCTCCCGGCAGCAGGGATGCTCAGCGGCTGCTCTGCAGCCACACGAGCCCACGTGGTGGGGACACCCACACGTGTCTTAACTCATCCGGAGTCATCAGCTGAGGGCTTGGCCTCTGCCTCCCGCAGCGAACCAGAGCCGGCCTGCAGAGACACACAGAGATGGGTTTGAGGGGGTGGGGAAGAATCAAAACACTCAATTCAAGCAAAAAAGACATTTTTTTGAAGGACAAAGCAGTGATTCCCAGCAGAAGAGAGGAGGAGCAGCATTGCAGGGACACAGGGAATGTCACAGAGAGTGAGGCTTCTCGGGCTCCGGCCGCTGGATGTGCTCCGGCTCCCAGAGGGATTTGGCTCTTCCTTCCAGAACAGAAGATTCTCCACAGCAGTGAGAGCACCAGCCTCTGGCCCTTTCCCAGGCAGCTCCATCTGCTCTTCATGCCCAGGAGAAGAGACTGATGAAGGAGAAGACTCACAACCAGGCTGGATGGGGCTTGGTGCAACCTGGCCTAGTGGGAAGTGTCCCTGCCCATGGCAGGGGGTTGGAACAAGGTGATCTTTATGGTTCCTTCCAACCCAAACCATTCTGGGATTCTCTGAAGACTCAGACCATGCAAGGCAGCCTGACACCTTCCCCAAGACACAGCTGTGGATCCTCAGCCAGCAGTTGGGCTGGAATCACCTCTCTTCAACATGAAGATGCCGTTGGAAGTGACAGGACCCTGAACCTCCCATCTGCAGAGAGACATCTGGCAGGTGACTCCTGAAAACACCCAGATGGACTGAAGAGTCTAATAATAATAATAAAATCAAATACAATTTCATAGATGGATATTTTTTAAGATCATCTCGTGATTTTAAGGGTTTAACTCACATTTACTCCTCAGGGCTGGAGGTGACTGTCCCAGCAGTGTGACCAAGTGTCCTTGGTGGGAAGTGTTCCATGGTGGGGAGAAGCTTTGGCAGAGCTGGCAGCCACTCTCCTGCCTTTCCAGGTCATTCCAAGCATGCACAATGCCCAGGGGACACAGCAAACACCTCTCCCCTCTCCTTTGGAGGGTTGTGTCCCAGCCCACAGTGCCATAGTCCCCACACATGGCACAAACCTGAGCCAGGAGCTTTGGCAAATTCCCATCCTCACCAACTGAGGCTTTGCAAGGCTCCTGAATTAACAAATCTCTCTCTCCATGAGCCAACTGCTACAGGCTCCGGATCAATGGAATAGGTAAAAAAAAGAAGAAAAGCGAAATAAATTTGCATGACTGTTCCCTGACGGATGTTTGATTCCACAGAAGGAACACGTCTCCTCTGGCTGGGCTGAGATCCTCAGCAATAACAACCGTTCCTTCTGTTTTCTCTTGAATTGCCAATCATGCATTTAAAATTATTAAAAAAAAAAAAAAAAAAAGAAGGAAAAAGAAGTGATCACCTCAGGAGATGCTGACTCGGAGCCCGCAGTGGATCAGGGTGCAGCCCACAGTCATGAGAAGACCTGCTCCATCCCATCCCATCATCCCATCCCGTCCCACCCTGTGGGAGCTGGCTTGCCAGGAATCCCCTGTGTCAGCACTTCACCAGTGATAAATAAGGGAGAAATGTGGCAGCTCTGGCCCCAGGATCTGCCAGGTTTCTCCCTCAGAGAGGTAAAATGAGGGCTCTGGAGATGCTGGTGCCCTCACCCCTCACCAAGACTCCCCCCTCTGCCACCACCAGCCCAGGGGTGACAGTGAGGGTGCCCAGAGCCCTCTGTCCCTGGAGGAGAGGATGGGGCACAGCGAGGCACTCTGACATCACCAGGATGGGGGGAGAAACACAAGCAACAAAAAAAGAACTTTTATACAAAAAAACAGACAGATCCATCCCAGTTGATGTGAGAGGATAGGAAAGGGAGCGGAGGAGAAAAGCAGCAGCTGGGATTTCAGAGAACAATGTGGGGAGAAAGAAGAAAGAGGGAGGAAGATGAGTGCGGTTGGGTCGCCTGTTGTTGTCAGCCCTTTTCGGGGGGGAGGGCAGCAGGAAAGTCAGTGATCAGCCAGATCTGAAAACAGACAAAACTACTTCCACATGCCAATAAAACCCTGAGCTTGGAGGGTTTGCAGGGCTCTGGGGCCCCCACGCTGCCTCTAAAACAAACCAGAGGAGCTGGGAAGCTCATCCGGGCAGGAGCCGGGACGTGGAACAGAGCGCAGTGATGGCATCTGACCTTTCCTTCCTCATCATCCTCCCCCTCATTGCCTGCCACAGCTCATCCCCCTGCCCAGCATTGCTTGGTCTGCATCAAAGGGACTCATGGAAAACCAACAGGCACTGCAGCCATTGCTGAGTGGGGTTGGTGATGCTCATGGGTGTCCCACGTGGGTCTGAGAGCTGAGAACCTCAGTCACCTCACTTGTGACTTTGGTGGGCTCCAGCATGTGGGATTGGGGATTGAAGGGCTGGAAGCATCCCTGATGCCATGAGGCAGCCTCTCCTCGGGGATCCTGGTGGTGGGAACATTTTCCAAACCATGGATGAGAGAGACCTGCTCCCACCTGTGTCCCACCATGCAGTGACCTTGGCTGAGCCTTTCCCTCACCCATGGCTTAGTCACGGAGCTGGAACACCCCGTGCAGTTGCCGGGCCGTGGCCCGAGGGGGAAGCGGCTGCCGCCCTGCGCCGCTATAAATCACCACACCG